TTAGCATATTGCCACCTCTATGGAAAATAGTGACCCCAAAACCCCAAAACCCCACGTTCCTATATTTATTATTTGAGAAGAATTTAGATAAATAATAAGCAATATAGTATAAATTAATGGGTAAATCAAACCTGAAAAATGAGCTCTTTGAGCAAAGACTTAGAGACAGAATACTTAACTTCATCAAAGATAAGATTAAGAAATTAGATGATGTGGTTGTAAGTCAATGTTTCGATTTAATTAGATGATATTTATAGTCACCAGATGAGATCTCAAAATATCTTAAATAAACGTATTCTGAGCATCAAAGAGTCATAGACAGTAAGTTCAAGAAATAAGTCATATACCATCTTAATCAACTTTTCTAAAAAATTTCTGTAAGATTGCTTATGAAATGAATTAATAAATTCTAATTTAGAATACTAATATTGAAAAGACTTTCTTCACTAAAAAAGACTTTGTTGAGCCATTGAAAGTCTCAGCAATAGGATAAGATAGCAAAGCAAATATAAAAAAGGATAAAAAAGAGAATGAAAGCAGTAGTAGTGATGACAGCAGTGAAGAGAGTGAACCTGACGAGATTAATGGAAAGCCAATTATTGATAGTAATGGTGAAAAGCTCATTAATTTCAAAAGTCCTAATCTTATGAATTCAATGCTTCCCTATGCTCAGATTAAATAGAAAGAAGAAGAAGAGAAAAAGTAATTATTAGGTAAGAGATAGGCTGAAGAAGAACTCTAAACATTAGAAAATGGCCAAGGAAAAGTTAGCAAAAGACAAGCGAACAACTAAGGCTATGCATAATTTATGAAGGACTAAAAGCAATAATAAGTATTGAGTGACCTTGCTGAAAAATATATTCTACACTCTAAATACACATTTAAAGATCTTGGAGGTATCGACCCTGTAATTAAATAACTCAGAGAAATGCTTGAATGGCCCCTAAAATATAGAAACATTTTCACTCATTTAGGAGTAAAACCTCCAAGGGGTATTCTCATTTCTGGTCCTGCAGGTACTGGCAAAACTCAGTTAGCTCTTGCTATTAGTGGTGAGTATCCTGATATTCCATTCTATAAGTTAAATGGCCCAGAAATAGTTTCGAGGCTTAGTGGACAATCAGAGGAAAACATAAGAAATATATTCGAAGCAGTAAAGAAGAATTTACCAGCTATTATGTTCATTGATGAATTAGACAGTATTGCTGGAAAAAGGGAAGATGCAGTTAAAGATATGGAAGTTAGAATAGTTGCTTAGATTGCAGCATGCTTAGATGAGATTGAGAACTAAGGAATTGACTTGATTGTTATTGGAGCAACCAGCAGGCCAGAAACGATTGATTAAGGTTTGAGAAGAGCTGGCAGATTCGAAAAGGAAATCTCTCTTGGTGTTCCTAATGAAGAATCGAGAATGGAAATTATCAAAATTTTGACAAAAAATATGAGACTAAAACCTGAAATAGATTATTAAGATATTGTAAGACTTACACCTGGCTATGTAGGAGCAGATATATCAACTCTCTGTAAAGAAGCATCAATATTAGCTGTTGAAAGAATCATTAATACTGAGAAAGTGAAGCCAGCAGATGAGGAAATGGATGAAGATGATAGTGATGAGAATTTAGACGACATTTATATTTAAGTCGAAGATTTCAAGATTGCTTCTAAGAGAGTTTAGCCTAGTGCCTAAAGAGAGGGATTTACAACAGTTCCAAATACGACTTGGAATGATGTCGGTGCGCTTTTTAAAGTAAGGCAGGAATTGCAAATGACAATTGTTGAGCCAATTTTGAATCCTTAAAAATTCAAAAGAGTAGGTCTATCAGCACCTGCTGGTGTTTTATTATATGGCCCACCAGGTTGTGGTAAAACTTTAGTAGCCAAAGCTGTTTCTAATGAATCTAAAGCAAATTTTATCTCAATCAAAGGTCCAGAGCTCTTAAATAAATATGTTGGTGAATCTGAAAAAGCTGTAAGACAACTTTTCAAAAGAGCAAGAGCATCAGCACCATGTGTAATATTCTTTGATGAACTTGATTCATTATGCCCAAAGAGAGGTTCTGAGAATAATACATCGTCAGAGAGAGTCGTTAACTAACTCTTAACTGAGATGGATGGTTTAGATGAAAGAAGAGATGTTTTCGTCATTGCTGCAACTAATAGGCCAGATATTATTGACCCAGCAATGCTAAGACCAGGCCGTTTAGACAAGCTTCTCTATGTTCCACTTCCAACAAAAGAGGATAGACATCAAATTTTATAAACTATCACAAGAAGTTTACCGATTCAGGATGATGTAGAATTGACTTAGATTGCTTATAGCTAAGAGTGCTCAGGTTATTCAGGAGCAGATTTGAGTGCTTTAGTAAGAGAGGCATAGTTAAATGCTTTGAAGAATAATTTAGATGATCAATTTTCAACAGATCAGATATTTATCACTTAGAGAGATTTCATCGTGGCATTACAGAAAGTGTTCCCTAGTGTCTCCAGAGAGGATGAGGTTGCCTATTAGCAATTAGAAAGATCATTAAAGAAGACTAGAGCTCACATTACTCATGAATAGTAATGAAAAACGAATGCTAAAGTAGATGACAAGAGTCAACATTAATTAACATAATTACATATTTATTTTCTTAACTTTACCATCAATCAACTAATTATCAATACTATTCATATTTATACTAAACTTTGCCATTTAGGTCTTTCAAACTCTTTGATCACCTCTCTTAAATTTATTATGCATGCTATAGCTTTTAAAGAATTTCTTAATGCATAGCTTGTTGCATTGTCTTTCCAATGCTCGAAGACTATCCTCTGTTAATGCTTAATTATCTCTCAACTCTTAAGTTGCATAACTTTCACAATGACTTTAGCACGAGTATTGTGCTTCATGACTAAACATGGCAATTTATGATTCAAGCAAAGAATCAGAGACTGTGTCTAATAACTGTTGAGGCGAGAAACCTTAATTATCTTATCCTTATGCTTCCATTACGTTGTGTTTTAATAATTTGATTAAATTTATTGTCTATGTGGTTATTAAAATGTACTATTATAATATAGATTATTATTTAAATAAGGAGTAAAAAGTAAGTTATTTGACCATTAAAGATATTAGAGAATGGGCCCAAAAAAAGGAAAGAAGAAGGTTGTCTAAGTTCTTGGTAATAAGTTTTCATAATAGCTAGGAGCCAAGCAAGATAATGATGAATATGATGATAACACAACATTAAATACATCTATGCAAAGCTTAGATAACTAGTCATTGAATCAGTCAGTAGATTACAGTCAAAACCCTAATGAGACTTAATCAAATGAGGAATCTAAATCTATCACAACAAATAATAGTAGTTCTCAATAAGATTAGAAATCTAATACGCATAAGTAAAATAATGTTGCTTAAGATCAAAATGGCAGCAATCAAGAAGAGGAGAAACAAATAAATAAATCGAAATCAACTACTAGTGAAAAGTAGTAAGAAGAGACTAAGAATACCTAGTAGCAACAAGTTGAGAGTGAATAGAAAAAATAGGAAGATGAAACAGCTAGATTAAAAGAAGAATAGGCTAAGAAATAAGCGTAGGAGCAGGCTGAGTTAGAGTAGAAACAAAGAGAAGAATAAATAAAGAAAGAGTAGGAAGAGCAGAAAAGGTTGTAGGAAGAGTAAGCTGAGAAATAAAAATTGGAGGACGAAAAAAGAAGAAAGCTTGAAGAGGAAGAGCATCAACGTAAATTGAAAGAAGAAGAAGAAATAAGGTTAAAGCATGAATAGGAAGAAAAGGAAAGAAAACTTAAGGAGGAGGATTTAGAAAGATAAAGACTTAAATATGAGGAAGAGGAGTAAGAGAGAATTAGGTAGCAATAATTAAAAGAAGAGGAAGATGCTCGTCTTTTAAAGTTAAAACAGGAGGAGGAAGATAAAAAGAGAAAAGAAGAAGAAGAGAGAATAAGATTGGAATAAGAAGCTCTAAGGAAAAAGCAAGAGGAGGAAGAGAGATTAAGATAAGAAGAGGAAGCTCGTAAGATTCGCGAATAAGAAGAATAAGCTGCTAGGGAAAGGGAAAGATAGAGAATTGCTAAAGAGGAGGCTGAAAAGAAAAGTAAATAGGAAGAAGAGGAAGAAGAGAGGTAGAGATTGGAGGAGGAAAGAATTATAAGAGAATATGAGAAAAAGAGACTAATAGAGGAGGAAGAACAAAGAAGGAAATTGGAGCAAGAAAGAAATCGTTAGATAGCAGAAGAAAGGGATAGAATATCAAAACACGTCGAATAATTGAATACTTCACTATCTGAATTTGAAAAAAGATTAGATGAGTTAGATGATTCATCTTATCTTGAATACTCAAAGGTAAAACTTCTAGACGAGGCATTGAAAGAACTCAGATAAAAAGTAGTAATTCAAGAGAATAAATTTGGTGAGTTTCAATATAACACTGATTTTAATGACCAACTTATTGATTTACTTGTTGCCAAATCATCTACTGAGTAGAAGATACATGAATGCTAGCCCAGAATTGATAAGAGAAACAAAGATATTGAATAACTATTATCAAATCGTCGCAGAGAAGAGTAACTGCTGCTAGATGATGCTGAAAAGCTTAAAACTCAAGGTAATTATGAGCAAGCTATTAAAGTCATCAGCAAAGTACTCTATGACAATCAACCACAAAAGGAAGCTTTACTTGGCAAAATTCTCGAAGAAAAGAAACTTAGAGAAGAGGAACGTGAGCGACAAGCCAAGGAAGAAGAGGAAAGAAGAGTTAAACTAGAGTAGGAGCGATTGAAACAAGAGGAAGAGAGAAAGAAGAAGCTAGAAGAGGAAATATAAAAATAAAGAAGATAAGCTGAAGAAAAATTAAGATTAGAGTAGGAAGAAAGAGATAGATAAAGAGAAATAGAGAGAAAATAAAAAGAGGTAGAATAGAAGAGAAGAATTGAAGCAGAGGCTGAAGTATAAAACAGTCTCAGACTCTCTCAAGAATAGCCACAAGTCAAGGGATTGATCTCTTTGTCATAGAATAATAATGAAGTAGAAACTCAGGATGAAGCTCAATAGGAGAAATAAGATACTAGCATAAACTCGGACAGGTAAACAAATGAGGAAAGAAGAGGAGGAGGTTCTAGTCCTATCATAAAAATCGTGCTTAGTGCTGCAGTTATCGTCATCGGAGGATTTATATATAGATAGTTGGCTCAAAGAAGATTTTGAATTTATAATTTAAGCCAGCAAGAAAATGTAGCTTGTCACTTATAAATATGGTAGTAATTCTCCAATTTGTTTCTATTTACCCCTTACTGAAATATTCATATCACGGGGTTTTGGGGTTTTGGGGAGATCGGAAGAGCACACG